CCCAATCTCAAACTTAAAAAAAAAGAAGAGAGAGAGACTGAGGGCCAGTGTTTGGAAGATCAGAAGCCTGGTAGAGGGAGGTGCCCCTGGCAACCCTACGGGGCAGGTCTGATGGGGTGCTCAGCCCAGAACGGCTGTCAGCACCCCAGGCTGCGGGGGAGGAGAGTGAGGAGGAGGAGCTGCTCAGAGATCAACAATCTCTGAGAATCTGGTTCTGGGCTATGCCAAAACCCAGCTATGTAATCCGAACAAATCATTTGTCCCCAAGCCTCAGTTTCTTCCTCTGCAGGGTGGGTGTGATAATCCTGATGCTGCGTGCCTCAAGGAGTTGTTGGAAGGGCGTGGTGATCAGTGCCCACCAGGCACAGGCTGTCAGAGCCGCACCTCCCCCCTCCCCGGGCTCCCCATGCTCCCCGCCCCCCTGGCTCACCATGTCCAGCTTGCCCTTCTTGTGCAAGGCGCTGGACAGTGCCACCGAGGTGAGCACGCAGGCTGCCAAGGAGCAGTAGGTGTTGATGGCAGCTCGGTGCTGGGCGTCTCCGTGTTTGGACACGGCTGAGTTGAAGCTGGGCCAGTACATCCACAGGAAGAGGGTGCCTAGACAGACCAGACAGGGCCGGTGGGCCCGGGAGAAGAGGTGTTAGATGGGCCCAACAGAACTTAGGCAGACCTCCTGCCCTTTTTAGTTCCAGAGACCTCAGATGACTCCTGTGCCCCAGCAGCTTCCCACCCTACAGCCTTACTCATGCTGGGAGCTCTTCCTACGACATCCTCCCTGCCTTCCTTACTTCCTGATTCTGCTCCAGGAAGTGTAGCCTGACCCCCGTAACTGGGCTAAATGCCTCCCACCTTGCTCCCACAACACCATGAGGGAGAATCTTTCCCCCCGCTTTTGGGAGATTATCTGGTAATGATCTGGTAATAATCCCTTGAAGGCAGGGCTGGGTTTTAGGAGACCAGAGTGGGTGATTGATATGTGTTCTCTGGAATGAATGGACACAGGACGTAGGAATTCACATTTTGCCCTGACCCAGGGGATGGAGTCACCATTTCCACTTTGTCTGCCTTAGGGCATCCTAGGGAAAACAGGAAGAGTGACCAACTTCTTCCAGCCCCGTGGGAAAAAGGGACCATCATCTGGGATCCTGGAGATGTCTACAGGCAACCCCCTCTGCCCTTTCCCCAAAGGGAACTGGCTACCACCCTCCAGACCACATGGAGATCAGGCATAGTTACGGGAACCTGAACTCCTCATGGAGACCCTCACCCATTATGGTGGTTCTCACTCTTCATGGTGGTCCTCACCCATCATGGCAGCCCTCAGTCATCATGATGGCCCTTATCCATCATGGCCACCTTCACCCATCACGGTGGCCCTCAGTCCTTATAGCAGCCCTCACCAATCATGGCGAAGAGGTCCGAGTGGTACACAGAGCTCTGCCTCTCCTTGCTCTGATGTAGGCTGGGTCGATAGAGGATCCAGGTCACTGTGAGCCCAAAGTAGGCGCCAAATGTGTGGATGGTCATAGAGCCCCCTGCATCCTTCACCTGGGGTACAGGGATCGGTGAGGCTCTGATACTGTCTCTCCCTCCCACCTGTGAGCACTTTCCTTCCCCACCAAACACACACACACACACACACACACACACACACACA